ATAAATAATAATAAATAACGGCACTTTTCTCTGCGAATTTGTCCCCCTGTATGCATTGTTAACTTTCTAACAGAATTTTTTCAAGACTAAGTATGTACGCTCACAATCTCCCAGATATTGCATAATGTAAAGTATGTAAAGTAAATAAAAGTATGTGTTTATTCCCTGTTGTTTTTCTATTTTGAAAATTAAATCTATATTCAACATTACTTTTAAGAAGCAGAAAAAATTGCGAAATAAACGGGTTTTCAAACGGTTCTTAGTCGCCATTCAACGACCACATATGAGCTAAATAATTGTTTGATTCGTCAAATATGAATTTTTATGACAAAAATATATTGCTTTTGGAAGGAAATTTTTTTTAACTTTGTGTTCATTGTAAAACATAAAATAAGCGCGATACATAAACATATTTTGAATCCCCTATAATTTATATAGCTTAAAACCGTTAATGCTAGTAGTCACGTCCACAAGGAAAAGTCTTTAAAACATGAGCATTAATAAATTAATATCCAACAGTGCTCGTAAAATTAAGAAATCGTGAGCACTTTAATATTCAATAAGCCACTTTTCGATTACAAATGGGCGGTGACACATACACACACACATATACTTACATACATACACACATGTAAATGAATTTTTGCTGTGCCGTTACATTTTGTTGTCCATAAAACATCTTCGCATTGTGACTATGGAGAGCAGCTGGCCTGCAGGCCACAAGAGTTTGGTAGACCCGGTGACGCCAATGTGCCAGCAATTAATCTCCTTGAAAATAAATAAGTATAAATTTACATTTACTTTTACTATGCGGCCTACAAGCACACATACACTTGCACATATGCAAAGTGATTGGTGTGCTGCTCGAGCATTCTCGAAGCGAAATAGTGGAACCTTGAATTTATTTTCAGCTGCTTTAAACTGCCAATGAGCTTTTTTGTTTTAATATTCGAAAATTAATGGTAGTGAATATTGTGCAATTGCATTACAACATATCTACTCCGTGTGCGTCATTTAAGTTGGCACTTGAATGTGAATATGTGTGTATGTGTACTCGTAGGTGTGTGTTGGATGAGTTTACAAAAATAAATTTAATAAATGAGCTAAAGAGTGCTAACTTTTTTCAAAATTTATTTAAAATAAATATTATTTAGATCGCAGTAATAAATAAAAAATAAAAATTTTGAGGGAAGTTTCATTATTCATTAAATATTGAAAATGTGTGCTAAATTTCGTTTTAACAATTTTCATTTAATTTTTTTTTTAATTTCACATTTTAAGCAAATAAATCGCAATTTAAGATAAAAAATACGCAATTTAGAAATATTTTTCTAACGCACAGATTCTTAAGCGCTACCACTTAAATCTAATATTAATGTATGTGGTCGAAGTTCTGGCGACCGAATTAGTTAGTTCATGTACCTAGAACATTAAAAAAATTCAGCTTTCCAAAAGGTCTGTTCTTGAATTATGAGCTACCGGCTACTTGAACTATTGGCTACACATGTTTGATCATTTTTATATTATTAATTACAATAAATCAATAATTTTACGCCTAACATTAGTTTGAAATATTATTTAAAATTAGCTAAATTTCTTGTTTTTTTTATGATAATGGCTACCTATATACGAGTAAATGTAATACCCTTCAACTGTAAGGTTTTTGGTGTTTTTAAAGATGGTGTGACGATGTATCTGATGGTGCAACCGAATGCCCGAAATATACTAACATACATACCACAGCTTCATCCTTATCCCATTAGAGCTAGTTTTACTATTGAAAATCGTGTACACTTAAACAGCTAAGCTAACCACTGGTATCTACTTTTATAAATTAACTCCAATATCAGTCAAGTTTAAATAATCGTAAGTAACTTAGATTTTAAACTTATTGCCGGCTGCACATGTAATAGAGGAATATCAACAACAAAAACAATCTGCATAATAGTTTTGAATGGTAGGATATACATATGTCTTTGGCACAAGGAATCATCATAATGCCTTCTTCTGTAACTCGCAGCGTACTTAAAAGTTTAACTGTTCATAGCAATTCTCTAAACTTAGAAGCTTTTGAGTTTTTTATAAAATAGAAGAAATTATATTTTCCTTGAAAAAATCAGAAAATGTTGATCATGTTTTTTTGATGGTATTTCTTTAGAAAAACTTATTTATCAACATTGTAGAATACAGACTCGTATATATAATATTAACCAGTAAATAAAAGATATGTTTACATTAGAAGAAAAGTACCAATATTTTCATTAGATCGAAAATAAGCTGACATTATTTCTAAGAAATATATTTTCTTTTTATTGATGTTGCTTTTTTAATTTTTTCCCTTAAAAAATTTCAATATTTGAATCAAAGTCCTCGCAGTTATGCCGAAGGGTTGTTCGCATACAAATATCTATTTTTTTAATATTTAATAAAATTTCCTTTTCTATAAAACTAAAATAGAAACTTAGTAAAAAAAAAATGCAAACAGTTATACCACAGTTTAAGTTTTTTACTTAACGTTATGCTAGAGTTTTGATTTTACGGCACCACGAAAGTGCTGCAAGGCCATAATGCAACCAATATAGATATGTATATGCATATGTATGTATTGTATATTATATATTCAAGTATATGTATTATATCGTATTCCAGAGCAGTACCTATACAAAAAGCGCAATCTTCAGAAAAATAGAAACAGAAAGGAAGAAACAAAAATATCTCATGCGAGATATTTATTGTTTATGCGTTTCAATATGTGTTGGACATGAGCAAGCCATGCGTGCGTCGGTTTTTAAAGGCATAAATTACATCAAACAATAAATTATGCATAAATATGTTGTTACACGGCCATATATTCATATGTACGCCACACTATTTGCCCCATATAACAGAAGCGCTGCAGCTGCTTGCACCACTAGGCTTGCAGCCGAGGCAAATACTTCACATTTATATTTGAAGTGTGGAGTGCCAGTGAGCTTTTTCTTGACGTAACACCACAAAACACACATATTTAAATATACACACACATGCATATATATAAATATAAGTATTTATGTTGGTACATACATATGGGTTCACTCAAGTATAGACACATGTTGGTGGTTGCCATTAATATGTATTCATTACACACTGCCACTTAATTTAAATGCTCATAATGAAAGGATGCTGATCACTTTGCGCAGTTGGCGTGTGTCTTTGAGGCAAACACGCTGCTGGGAGCAACGCTTTCTTGGAAAAACCTACAATTACTTATAAGTGATAACATGCGCACGCAAGTGTGCGTGTGTGTGTATGTGTGAAGAAGAGATTAAGTGCGCGCATTTATTTGTATGGATGCAATAAATTTTCCATTTCGCACACATTGTATCTTAATACGAAAAGTGTAGTAGCTACCACGCAAGCAACAACAACAAAAATTATAAATTATCATAATATAACAATCGCGAAACAACAAAAGCAACAACACAAGTAATCCGGTGGCTAAAGAAATTATGCAGCCATTCAAGAATAAGCTAAACTACGCTAGAATATGCTAATAAAAAGCATTCGATTCAAATCTGTGTAGATAATTCAACAATACTGGCAAAACAATGTTGCCAATTAATTGAATTTGTCGAAAACAAATCAATTTCGGCAGCGGCTGCATTAATGTCGCCCAGCGTGATGGAAACTTTTTATAAATTTTTTGGTTTTTTTAGTGTAATTTTCTAAATTTATCGCAAATAAAAACAACGTCTTATGTAGCACCGAAATAAATTTGCTTCAAACTCAAATATATTTGTAAATAAAATTTACTATTTATATGGCATTGATGGCAGGGGAGCTTGAGCGTAATATAGCAGCTGTGGCGGCCAAGGTGGGGGCAATAAACTATCTACTATATTTAGCAAAAGTTCATATTTGTGCTGTGTATCTTTCTGCTTTCAGCAAAGATTGGCTTTTAACCGCTCTAAGAGCCTGTGTGAATTTTCAAAAGAAATATTTTCCAAAAATTCATCCGGAGAATAAACAATGCGTTTTGAGGCCTATCATTACTCTAAAATGCTGAAGTCCTACAGCATCCATTTTTGCAGCCAGCAACTGCAAATTTTGGACACCTCTTACTAATGATGTACAAAAGTAGATTTAAAAAAATGTATTAGAATCGAAGGATTATAACTTATAGCCCCATACAATTGATTGTTCGAAAATAAGTTTTTGAGTTACATAGCGTCCAATTTAGCAGCTACAAGTAGTAACTCCAAATTTTGTGCACTTACTTATGATATATAAAAATAGTGGATGCAGATTTTTTTTTTTGAAATCGATTGACTTTAGCCTATAACTCTCCAACAACTGTAAAACCTTTATAGCAGCAAATTTTCTAATATTTTTGCATGTGTATGATTAAAAGTCGACAACAGAAGCTATAGATATCAGTCTACTGTAACAGATAATGCCGATAGAGCTGACTTAGATTAATTTTGAGGTATGCACCGCGACCTATGGTCTATTGTGCCTTCATAGATATAGAGCTGACTTAGTTTGGTTGCGGTCAAAACTAAACTAGAACATAAAGTAAACTTAATTAATTTTTCAAAAACTTTTGATTCAAAATAAATGTTTTGTTTTATGGCAAAAGCAACCTTGTCGTATAAATTTAATTGCTTTGGAGGGTCATTCAGCAATTCAGCAACAACTGACAGTTCTATAAAATCTATTGAGCAATCGTCTGTTATATACAAGTATATGTAATTATTATTTTTTAATTTTCGTATAAATATCAATGAAAATTAAATGCCAAATAAACAAAATATCAAGAAATAAAATTGCAAACTAAAGTTCGCACATTTAAAAACAAATCACTTTAATAAAATTATTTAAAAAGTATTAAACAAAAAATTATTCAACAAGAAACGCGTGTGTTTCTTTTACACAATAGATTTACGGTTATTAGCGCAAAATACGCAAACCTCATAAAGAATACCGCTAAAGAGATGGAAACTTTTTGGATATTCAAATATATATTTTTTTATTTATTTTTCCACGCAATGTTTGAGTAGATGTGCGTGTGTATATGTGTATGTGTGTTCATTATTATATGTAGTTACGATGATTTGCAGGCATTTCAAATATTTCCACAACAACGAACAAAGTGCAAATTTCGCAGAAATTCAAAATCAAAATAAACTTTCGCAAAATACAATAATATTATAAAAAATATAGTGAGTGAGGAAAGAATTCACCAAAAACGAAAAGAAAACAAATAAAAAATTAAAAAGTGAATAAACTACACAGAGATGCCGTTGGCTTTCAGCGACTAGCGGCATTATTTCTCCTTGCTCATTTAAGTGGGCGAACAAACTGCCAAATGCCATTGAAATATTATTAACTTATTTATCACAACACAAATTTTTTCGCCAACTGCATGCGTGCGTGTGTGTGTGCAAATGCCACTTGCGAATAAACGCGAGCGAAAAGACGGCCTCCAAGCGGCAAAGACAAGTTACCCCACAACAGGTGGCACATTTTTTGAGAGCGCCAAGCGTAAATTAATAAATAACACAGAAATTTTGTGACAAATTGACAATCAAACAAAATAGAAAATAGCAATTAATAAACTGTGTAGCATATCAAGGTGAAAGCTTAAGTGCGTGTTAGTTTACAAAGCGCACGTGGCCAGGCGCCGGTGAAAATATTAGCACACAAAGCTAATTGCACCGAACTGGCGGTCCTCAGTGAGCGGGAAATGATGAAGCACGACGCCGCCACGAAACCTATAGCCATTGGTGGACCGAACGCAATGGCGCCAGCTGCGGGCACGTCCTCATTAAAGCGCGGCTTGTGGCGCAACCGCAGTGTGATCGAAACGCCCGTTTGCGCGCGTAGCCCCATCACGAAAGCTTTTGATTTTCTGCCTTGGGGGCGCAGCAAAAAGGGTGGCGATAAAACGCAAACACAAACACAACAGCAACCACTAAAACAACAGCAAAAAGCCCACGCGGTGTCAATGTTCACGAAGTCAGCAAACAGCAGCGCTGGCGGCAACACAAGTATCCACAACAACACTGGCAACCACACAAATACGGGCGCCGATAAGGACGCGGGTATACACTATCACCGAAACATTTTTCGCAGCGGCGGCGGCCTCATACGTGACATACTCGGTGGCGATAAGTTGAATAAAGAGAAAGGTACACAGGAGTTGACGCTGAAAAAATCCAATCAACGCACAAAACCCAAGCAAGTGGTGGCGCGCAATAAGAGCCTAGACATACACGAGCTCATCAATACTGTCGAGAATGAGCTGAGCGCGGAGCGACAGAAAAATGGACGCAAACATTTTATGGACGACACATTTATTGAGAATATAATGCGCGCCAAGGAAGCCTATCGGCAGGCGAATGACGAACTGTGCGATGAAGAACAGGCCCGTGATTACCGCTATGTGGATGAGACGAACGAAAACGAAGGTAATGGACTGCGGCAAGCGCACGAGGAGCAGCACAAGAGCATTGAACAGCTAAATTGTACACCTTCGAGCAGCAATGGCAACACAACTGCTGCGGCGCACGCACCCGCGCGTCACATACTCTTCAATGACGAAGACATTGTGTATCTGATAAAGAAAGAGCTGCCGGTCAAGCGCGACATGAGTAAGACAAAGCGCAAAGTCTCGTGCCATCAGGCGGAAAAGGAACACCAACAGCAACAGCAACAACTACAACAGTATCAGCAATATCAGCAGCACCATCCGCAACAACAACAACAGCAAGCGCGGGAGCGCGAACGTGAAAGAGACCGTGAACGCGGACGTGACCGCCACGAACGCAGTGAAAGTGTGTTAAGGGCGCGGCTGAAATTCAAGAAATTAACACCGGACGCAACACCGTTGCCGAACCGCAGATCGACATCCACACAGATGCTCAATCATAATCAGTATCACAATCAGTGCGAATACAATGACGTTGAGTATGAACAACCGCACGCGCGCAATTATCAGCAATCACGGTCGGTCAATGACAGCTACACGGCGGCTGGCGATAACAGTAAGCGCGGCATACTGCAGCGACAGAATACTTCACCTGCGCTAATGAGTCTGGCCGGCGAAAGCGCAAGTGGCAACGGAAATGGTGGTGGCGCTTATGAAGAGGATGCGTCCCATCACCTGAGTCCGGAAAATCGTCGGCGCCACCATCAACTCTACCAGCGCGGCGAGCAACGCGTGCAATTACAGCGCCGCAAATCCTTCACCGGCTATGACAATGCACAGCTAGGCAACTGCAGCAGTAGTAGTAGTATGGCGAGTGGTGGTGGCAGTGGTGCTAGTGGCGGAGGTAACACCAACGCGCCAAGCGTTGAACCGCCGCGCGGCGAAAAACCGCGTAAGAAGCTCTCCTTCCGCGAACCGATTGCGGATAAACCGCGTATACGGCGTCGTAGCTCGCCGATACAGCGTCCGGAAAGTGTTAGCGCTGAAGCTATAGAGGCTTCTCCGGGTGACAAAGAGTCGAACAATCGCCTCACTGTCGACGACGCTAGCGCGCATAAAGTGAGCTGTGATAATTTGAGCGCCAGCAGCAACAGCAGCGCTGCCTTAATGTTATTACCTGATAACCGCAATTACGCTGCTCAGATTAATAATCTTGCCCTGGATGCGGCGGGCTGCTGTTTTATGGATAAAGCGAATTTAACAATGGACTTTGAGGTGAGGCACGAGTAGATGTTAATTGTAACGGTTAGTTGTGATGTATTATGAGCAAATATCAATCACAGTTTCGCGAAGTGTTGGTAATTACTCATTAAGTAGATGAGAATGTTGACTTTACATAATGTTGATACCGGCGCCACCTAGCGTGTGGTTTAAGTATTACCAGAAAATTTTACAAAATATTTGTATCAAGTTCTATAAAAAATTTCTATATCTCCTTTAATTATTTAGCAAAAAAAAAAATTTGCTTTTAACTAATTTCCTCTTCTATTTCTTTTTTGTTTACAGTCACAAGCGATGCGTATTGTACGTACCGTCGGTCAGGCCTTTGAAGTGTGTCACAAATTTAATCTTCATAAGAATTCCTTGGATCACAACGACGAACGCTCGGATGTCTCATCCGAGTTACTCGATGTAGAACGCATTTCGGTACAACAACTGACTGATGACGAGCTGGATAAAAAAGGTAAGTCAAAGCAGTGGATACATTTAAACTCAGAAGATATTCGATTATTTAAGCTATATATTCCCGATCTATTAAAAATCTGAGTGTCATTATTAATGTGTTTTTTAAGATTAAACAAATTTAATTTTTTTAATCTCATCTTTTTTATCGTATATGTATATATCGTAGTGTATATGTGTAGAGTACAATAATGACGAACTTCTTGTATATGAAAAGTGAAAAATTAATAGTGGGTTGAAACCCATTGGAAAAGGAAGATAAAATAACAAATATTAAAGTAAGAAGTAAGTTCTAAGTTCAGGTGTAACTTGAAAGGATCAAAGCCGGGGAAAGGTCTTCTAGAATTTCAATATTAAGTTTATCTGACAGGTTTGCCGATATTTTCGGTAAAAAGTTCACAATAGGAACTGTCGTTCACATCTTCAATATCTGGGAGCTTGAATAGTTATAATCCGAATTAGACAAAAATTAATTTAAAATTCTGTTATATAGGAAGTAGGCGTGGTTGTCGTCCGATTTCGTCAATTTTCGCACTTCAACGCAGGAAGGTTAGGATAATATTATTTACGAAATCTAGTTGAAATCGGTCAAGTATGGGTTTTCACGCCCATCGTCCAAATATGACACCGGCTCCTATTAAGCCCTTTCGTAACATCTTGGATGTAAAACTTTACATCTCTGACGCATTTAGTTTTATATTTATCGCACTTTTAGTAGTTTTTAACAAAAACCTTTATACGGAACGTGGGTGGGGTTATAATCCGAGTTCTCTCGTTTTCACAAGGTGGGTAGGGATGCCACAAAGCTTTTCCTTGAATGAATTTAATTGTTATAGCATTGAATCGTTTAGTGGCGGGTCCCTTTTGCATTGTTGGAGGAAACTTATCACATTAATGTATATATTTTTTATGTCATCAGAAACTAAGGATTTCAGGAAATACAATATAAAGCCTACTGCCATTAAAAAAAATATGATAATTTGACGTGAAAATTTTTGTTTGAAAATTAGGGTGTTTTTTCGATATTAAGTCAAAATAAAGAATAAAAAAATATTTCAAATAAAAAATTACCGGACTCAGAAGGACGCGTCGAAGACCCTATTAAATGTATACATAAATGATCAGCCTAATGAGCTGAGTTGATTTAGCCATGTCCGTCTGTTTGTAACTAGTCTCTCAGTTTTAAAGCTATCGATCTAAAAGAAAGCTAATTAAAGCTATCGATCCCGAAGTTAACGTTTTTTCTTGTTTTACTTTTGAAATTGTTTATTTTATTTACATTCTGCAAATCTCAAAAATATTCTTAACATTCTAAGAATAAAGCATTATGGTATATTATTACTACTATTATTATTATTGCTACATTCTAACAAAAGTTAGATTCCTCTAGACCCAAACTTAAGCTTATAGGCTAGCAAAGAGCGTACCAGTACGAAAATGTGCTTATCACCCGCCGCAGAAGTAACGTGCGTTAGTGACAAAAGAAAAGTTCTCCAAATGAATTGTTAAATGGCATTGAAAATTATTTTTGGCAGCAAATTGCACAATTTCTTCATGGCCCGCACAGCTGATGGAAACATTTGCGGTGGCGGTTTGACGTCATCAGCTGAACAATGCTTGTTTTTAGATTTTATGTTTGACATCAAATTTCTGCTACAACAAATCATATTTATAAAATTATTTTAAATTGAACAAAAATATGTAAAAGAATAGCGCTAATGCCACTTTGACAAAACGCCTTGAGCAGCATATCAATAAAGCGAACCTCACAACCATAGCATCATTACACATCACTTCGACATCGTTTGAGTCCATCATCGACACTTAATGCCGCATGAGCTCACACAGCGCCGCCGAGCGGCACACATTGGACCCGCATACAACGATTGATGCGCCGAGAACGCTTATTTTTAGCCGGCGGGATGACAGATAAGCAGTCAGACAATGCAGAGAAAGCGTTTCACGCGCATGAATTCACTTTTTTGGCACAATAAATGGCTTGATAAATAAAAAAAAAACCAACGGAAATTATAACTGTGAAATATGTCGCATTTTTGGTGTCAATTATGTACAGAATGCAATTATTTTATATTATTTTGAGTGTAAGGAAAAGCAAAATTAGTCACTGACATGTGTTCATAGTACGGGAAAAAATAATAAAAATAAATATTTAAATAAAATATTTCTAAATTATAAATTATTTTAAAGCAAAATATATTAAATTTACAAAAATAATTTAAATAATTTTTTGCAAAAAAAAAGTTGAAAAAACTAAATTAAATATTTTTTACAAACAAAAAAAAATCTAGTAAAAAAATTTACAAAAATATTTTATTTAAAATTAAAAAAAAAAAATTACCAATACACCGATTTATTAAACTTTTTTTTTTTAAAATTACCTTAACTCAAAACACTAAACAAATATAAAAAAAATGTTTGGAAATATAAAATATCAAACAATTTGTTTTATAAAATTAAATATGGTATGTACATTCTTGTATATTTTTTTGGCTAAAAAAATTCAGAAGCTATAAAATTTTAAAATATATATATTTATATGCTAAATGCCACTTGAATGTAACAGAAAAAAAAATTTAGAAAAAAAATTATTTATTTAAAAGTTAAAAAAAATTAAGCATTGAATTTTTTTATAGGACTGTATACAGATACATATATTAAAAAAAATTAATAACTAAATATAATTATTACAACAGCAAAAAATGTTGAAAAAATGTTTTAAGATATTTATTAAAAAAATTTTTTTATAAAATTATGCTTATGTGTATCAGAAAAAAAAATTAAAAAAACTATATTTTTGTTCATAAGAAACAAATGTTAAGAAAAAATTAAAAAAAAAATGTTATTGAAAAAATGTTATTGAATTTTTTTTTAATTTTACATGAGTTATATTTTTTTTTTTTAACACTTTTCAAAGTCGGGAAATTTAAAAAATATATATATGTATTTATTTTCTAAATGCCACTTGAATGTAACAAAATATCACATACTCGTATACCCTCAACCAAGCACATATACAAGTTCGCTGTCACGTCATAACTAATGCAAAATGAGCTCATCCGTCAAATAATTTACTCGCCAGCTTCATATCATTTGTGGTCATACAAATTTTTGACAATTTCTATTTTTGATTTTCCTCTGGTGTTGACGTGCTGACTGTCGCCAACGGCTAATGAAACGGTATTTTACGAGCTAGTTAGCGAATTCCAAACAGCAACGAATATTAAGAAGTAGAAGCCGAAGAAATTGGAGCAATCACAGCTGTTGTCAACGAGCAATATTTTACAAATCTAATTTTTTATTATTTTCCACTTTCTCTTTTCTCTTTAAGCCGAAAGTCATTAAAAATTAATTACTTTTATTGACGTTTTGAAGGCAGCACGCATGACCTTAACAAGGACTCACATACCATAGTTCGAATGTTTTCGGCAAAGTTTACATTTATTGCATTTACCGTTAGGCGTTGTCATTGAACCCACCACAGTGAATGATGTCACAGTGGAATGAACGACCTTTGCGTGTGTTCTCGCCATTTCTAAATACATATTTTGACAAACATGAAAATATTGTATGCAAAAAATTATATTTTTCTTATTTTGAGTTAGTGATGAGACACAAACACTTGGTGCTTACTAAATTGTCTGAGTTGTAATTCGTTTGGAAATTATTATTTTTAATAACATCTAATGCTTCAAATTTATTAATTTTTAAACTAACTGTCCGTCATTTTAGTCAGTTTCCTTCCAATAATATTACAGACTAATGGCTTATTAAGAGTAATTGATCATTATTGACAGACTTGATAGATTTCATAGATATACAATAGTATTTCTGATAAAGTACGGCACTTCCTTTCCATCAATAAAAATTTCACCTACTTCATAGTTTGAAATTGATGGAAACAGCCATATTTCACTTATTGTTTATTGGCAAAAATTATGTCGGAGTTATATTCATACATTTCGGCGAATATGCTGAGTGTTAATTTAAGATCTGTAGAGATTTTTGTATTTATGAAATCATAGATAAATTAGCTTTTCAAAATCAAATGCAAAAGCAAATTTCAACAAGCAGGAAAGAGCAAAAATCTAATTGAAATTATCATTTTACACCCAATGTGTGTTAGTGGCATGCAATTAGTAATAAATTTGAAAAATAATTGTTTAATTTCGTTTTTTACCCTCAGATAATTAGAACTATAGAGAGTGTGTTCATTTACAAACATAAGAAATTGTTTAAGAAAATATGTGTAGTTATAGATGCTAATATTGTGAGTCAGTCGAAGCTTCATTTGTAGAAATATTGTCAAACTAAAGCCTCTTATAAAACAAACTGAAATTTGTACCGCAAAGGGGCATATTCTTCATATACCTCAGCGATAAGACAGAAATGTTTCCTATAAAGCATTTCTTATTCAGCGAGCTTTTTATGCGTTGAATTAACAATATTTTTTCAAAACAAAGATAACACTTTCAAACCCACGGAAATAAACCGCTAATTTGAGAAACATATCTGGAAGCACGGACGACGGATCGCTGTATACCGCAATCGGTCATAGAAGGTTAAATTCACACCTCTCCCCAAAAATGGAAGAAAGTACGACAGACGATAGGCCACACTTGTTTAACTGTTCCGCGAACTCATCCTATCCGACATCCGACCTTTCTCAACGCAACCCAAAGCGACAGGTTTTCTGAAGCTTAGGCTGGAGCAGTATTAAATTTACTGTCTCTAAAAAAACAATCCCTTGTAACAAAGTGGTCTGAAAGCCAATAAACACATTTTCGCTCTGCTCTCTGGCATATTCGATTAACGCGCATACACTATGTATGACAGCCCAAAAAAACAAACTATTCTACCAATTGTTTGAAAATCTTAAGGGTCATAAATAGTTTAAAAACACAGTAAAATTTTTTAAGCAACATATTAAATATCTTTCAAGTTACACGAGTTCTCTGCCGACGCTACTAACAGATGTTGTCTGGGCAAATCAAAAATTGACAAAGTGTTAGAAGGTTCCAACTCAAAAACTATTTAGGATATCGATTAAAATTTGAGCATGTTTTTTTTTACAAAGGTATAACCTATTGAAATATGACTTTTTTTTAATTTCACACATTTGGTGAGCCCCTTAACTTTTAAATTGCCGCTGTGTTAAAAGTGACCATCCTCAAGTTGTTGAGTACACCTCTTCCAATAATTTTGGAAATGACTAATATTTATGCAATGTTCTTGATATCAATAACATTTTCGGTCCATGAAAATATAAAAAAAACAACATAAAAATATTTTCCACCTGACTCTAAATACACACATATATGTACGAGTACATATGTACATATGTCTAAGGGGCGTGCAAAAATTTACATCAACACTCGGAATTTTTGGCCGCTCGATTTTCACACTCCAATAAATAAGCGTTTAAAATAGATTAATTCGAACATACGAAGGAATTAAATGGATCACTTACATACAGACAAGAGTGCGTAGATATATGTATATTGTATATGTGCCTAGTAATTGCAAAATGTATATGCAAACACACACACACATACACAGTTACAGACAAATTTCCTATTGTTGTGAGCTAAATGATTAATAACAGTAAAAAATTAAAATCCAAATGGAACTAAAAATCAAAAGCAATTTTTTATTGCGAACATTTCAATGACTTAAAAGCGAAGTTCCCAAGAATTTACTTAATCACAGGGATTTTTACGCACCATATAAAATATATATATTTATTAAGAAAATATTTGCTTATAAATATTTATATATATAAAATTTTGTGTATATATATATATATATAATGTGTATATTGATATATTTGTTCAGCAATCTGCAGGTAGGCGCTCATGATGGTACCCTCAACGCTTTCCTCCTAGGAAGGCCATAGCCAGCTGCCGCTAACACGCCTACAAATACACATATAAATAGTTTTACACTTATATCTACGTGCCCCAAAAGAATTTTGCTCAAATCAATAACACCAAATGATACTTAAGATTTAAATATCTTAAACTTATTTACATGTAAATCATATAGTTTTTAGATCATTCTATTGGCGCCTATGAAATGACTATTAACTTTTAATGGCGCGGAACTAAAAACCTTGCCATACTTATTATATTAACTAATTGTTTCGGAATTGAAAATTTTCCAATGGTTCGGCCACAGGTGGTCTCATGGCAATGTTGGGTATATGAATATACTTGTATATATATATGTATACATATTTAAACAAAAAGAAATTGTGTATATAGTTATATATTAATTTTTAAATAACATTGTATTATTCCACCACATGCTGCAATTTTTAATAAAAAAATTAATTCTTGTAAACATTTATATTTAACTTTAATTTACGGCTTTGCCCTTCATTGGCTATATTTGAATAAATCGCTTTTAAATTGTACAATATTTATTTTTGCAGAGCCGCTGACCGCTGTGACGGACATAAAGCCACCGCAAAGACCGAATCATCTGGAATTGGTGCCACAGACTAGTTCAAATATGCGCAAGTCACCCAGCTTGTTGGTAAGTTTTGAAAATTAATTAAAATATTCTAAAATAGTATATTTTTTTTATTTCTGAAATATTGTATATCATCAGATATATCGAATCAAGTTTAAGAATTCTAATCTCTAGCCACATCTACTGTCTCAAATTTATGTGACAACTTAATACCCTTATTTAGCCGTGTTGCACACCACATGTGGTGAATTTCCAGCAGTAATAGGTCAACGACAATAGTTTCAGTCAAGTTTTCTATGCTTTTTAGAATCGACTCATTTTTGCGAAAAACTGTCAAGTGTCTAATCTATTTCGCTGCGACGATAAGTTTGTAATATTTTTGGAGTTGAAGCCTTTTTAAATACATATATATCGATGATTTTCGAATAAAATCGCAAGAAACTACCCTTGATAAATAAAAAATTAAAACATTGTTATTTATATCCCTAATGGCTACGTCATGTTCCTATACTATGATCTTAGTACTATCTTTGCGATTTCTATACTATACTTGTATATAAATTGTATCGAGAATTTGTTGTCGATAAATTTTGTTATCGATAATTGTTATCCTGAATTTCGATAAATATATCGATTCTTTTACTCAGTAATTGAAATTAAAAACTCTGACATGTTTTGGTATTTTAAGACTCACTTTTTCTACTTGGTCTGCAAACTTATGCCATTATATTTTCGCTCATATTTGATCAATTATAATCTTATGTCGTCGATAAATTTTTTGACGAAAACCGACACTTTTCAGTCAAATATTTGTTTTTTATTTTTGTTTTAGAAAAATCAACATACTTTTTGTTTTAGGATTATAATATTATATATTATTTTTTTTTTTTAATAAGAATCGATATATTTTTCCATACACTATCTGACTGGCACCAATAAAAAATATTTTAAATTTCTGAGATATACTCGTATATAAATTAGTTTTATTAGCGATAATTTGAACCCTGAATTAAAAAAAATCGATATTTTTTCACTTAATATTTTGAATTAAAAATTCTAAAATTCTTTGGAAATTTAAGACTGACTGTTTCTACTTGGTCTGAAAACGTATGCTATTATACTTTTACCCATATTTCATACTTTATAGTTTTATTTTGTCGATAAATCGAAAATCGAAAGAGAAAAATCGGCAAAAAAAAAACTTTTTTTTTCGAAAAAATCAATATAGATTTTAAGTTTAAGATTTCAAAATGATTTAAAAATATTTTCCTTTTTAATAATTGATATATTTTTTAGACACCAGGTGACTGGTGACACTAAAATATATATTAAAATTCTGAAATATATTTCTTATACAAAATTACTGTTAGAACTACTTGTTTATACATATACTGTCATATACTGATATTTTGTCAAACCTCGTTTAAAACGACATTTGTAATGATGCTGTCCCAATTTAAAACTGCTGTGCTGTATGTAATTATTTCATTTTTCTAGCTCTGCACATTTCATGCACAATAGCTTAAGATAGGCGGTAGAATTATGAACTGTTCGAAACTTGTAAATATTGGGAAATTATACAAAATTAAATTATTTTTTGGAATTGAAAACTTATGAGAACTACTTTAAAAATTACCTTTATAGGATGAATATTTATTTACAAAATATATATATGAACTGAACCCTGAACTTGTCCCTCAGTTTTTGAGATATCGATCTAAAAACTTGCACCTGTCCTTTCCTCATCAAGTAGCTGCTCATTTGTCAGCACAATCTATATCGGCTTACTATAGCATATAGCTGCCATACAAACTGGACGATCTGAATCAAGTTCTTGTATTTGTGAAGGGTATTATTGTTTCGATGCAACCGCTTTTTCTTATTTTTAGTCTTTCATATTAAATTAGTTACAACCAAACCATAACAATGTAATAAAATTTTCTCACACATTTACTGATTCAGAGTATTAATGTCTTACTAAATCCACAAAAATAAAAGTTGCGAAAATTTAATAATTATTTGTTTTTTCGTGATAAAATTTTTAAATACGTTTTGTTTGGTTAGACATAGATATACACAAATAATTCCAGACTCTCGTAAATAAGTTTGTGTTTATGTTAGGTGATATTTTCACCTCATATGCAATATACTACTCATCGTATTTGCGTTAGGGGGGTCATTTGGAAATTCAAAAGAATGAATTAATTTACAATTAATCATCCAAATTTATAGGTGATGACTGTGACTATCGGTGCTAGGCTAAGGAGATAATTAAATTATTTGATTTTTTGACTTGACTCCTGTACGAGAGGCCTTAGTACTTTTGCTATTGATAGGATAGATACGAGTATATGGTTCACCCTTCCCTCTACTCACACACTTTTCCAACTAAAACATGTTTGGGAGTTATTAAACGGACTCGGGGTAAAAATATACGGTTTTTTTTTTGACGAAAAATACAGTTTGGCATTATAACTTTAAACTATTATTAACAATCTGATTATAACCCTAGCCGCAGTGGTAGCCTTCAGCCTGATTGAACCAATTCAGAACGTATTTTCGAACAAATATTTTGATTTAGCGAATATCCGAAGCCATTACCGCTGCCTTTTCATTATTTATATTTTCTAGCCTTCTTTTTTAATGGTGTGTGAACCTACTACAAAACTAGCAAAGGTCTTCTTAGTCACTTTTCTAGCCATTTACTTTACCGTGAACACTGAGGGTCTGATACTTAGTATTCTTATTATCACTAGTAATTACTTCCGCAACTTTCGGGATGTAATACTTAGTTGTGGTCAACATACTATAAAATACTATCAGCGGTATATTTTCACCAAGGGTTTTTCTGGGGCATATGTTACTTCTCCAAACTCTTCCGATGTCATCAAATAAAATATGGAGTGGTGTGAGTTTCAAAATCAACTCTAGTGCAGCACATTATTGTGTATAGTAACTGAACTACTAACTCCATCAGAGCCAAACCTTATACTTTACTACCCACTTTACTGGACCACCCTAATATCTCCATATAGGTAAACATACAATGCTTCAATTATCACAATACTAAAAAAAGTCTGTTTCATTTCATTTAAGCCACAAAGTATTTACCATACAAATGTTTTATTTTTAGTTTGAATTCAAAATTTTGGTTTTTTTTTGTTTTCGACTCAACGTGCAACCAGACGGCGCCAAAATTAGCACGAAATTTTAAAATCAACGATACAAAGTGCCACAACGCCGACCGGCTAACCTACTCATGCATAGTGCAATTAAAAGTATATGCACACATACATACACACACATATATGTATTTTGGTCCAGCAACATGATGGATTCGCAAACCGGCAAACAAATGCAAACGCTAAAATTTTTATGATGAATTCAGCCGCAAACGACGTGGCCGCCGCCGCCGCCATTTGGTGTGGAATTTTTATTTCAACGCCGCTTGGCCGAAATGCCGACGCGATTTTTATATCCTCCATAACTAAGTGGAAATCGGGAAACATTATATGTAGATATAGTCTAACGACGCATTTATAATAAATTCCTAAATGCTGGAGGGGTTTTTCGCAGGACCCAGGGGCGGTTAATTCGTTGCAATTCGCCAGCGATAAATTATTCGTCAAAAATTTACCTTTCGGGCCATCAAATTTTGTTGCGCTAATCTTTAACTGCTTGTATATTTTGTTGTTGTTATTTTTCTTTATTACTCATTTGTTTACTCGCATTGAAATCGATTTTGACTATTAATTTAGATGTGTGCTTTCAAATAGCCAAAACGGTAATAGATAAATCATCCATTAAACACATGCGAGAAATACTCAAGTTAAAGCTACAACAGAAGCAAAATGCTCGTTTGATTCTGATTTACTCCCGTAATTATGGTGGGCGTAACCACACTATGATATTCGTGTGCGCACATTAAAAATAATTAGCGCATAACACACTCTTTGGAGAATATGTTTATTTTAATATATGTGAAAGTCGTGTTTATAGCTTATTTGTAATTAAGTTTATGTGTTTGTAGTTTATTACAAATCCTTATTATCGCCTTCAAATGTGGTTCTATGCCAATTCAAGCATGCCAACGCTTAATCCAATTTTCCAAAAATTTGTTATAAGCCTCGGCTGGGATGGTCTTCAATGCCTTCAGCGTATTTTGGTTTTTCGGTTGCGGCTTCTTGTTGGATCATCGTTCACTAGACTGTTGGACAGTTCCGATAGTTTCAGTTTAAACCCACGACTTGGCACTAATAGTAATGCATTTCATAAATGTAGGGTCTTCAGCTACATTATCAAGCATCACTTTTGCCACTTCAACTCGGCGTCGCTTTTGCAAAGGATTCAGGTTTTTTGGTACGAGTCTAGCATTGACATACCTTATACCCAAAATATTAACCAAAATGTCTTGAATCAATTTATAAGAGATGTTAAGATCCTCTGCTATCTCTCTGTTGCCAACACGTCGATTTTGAAGTACTGTTTCTTTCACTTATCGGTATAAACAGTGGTGTAAGGGCGACTCGCATTAACAAGTTTTGGATGACTTCACGACCTTAACTGAATGCTTTGTGCCACTCAAATACTTGTGCTTGTAATAAAGTAGACTTCACAAAACACTTCTGCAACATTTTAAACGATTTCGTAACTGTGATTCCATTGAAAGCAAAAATTTTCAAGCAAACTCGTTGTTCAATTTTTGTTCATGGTAAAACTTGCAAGTTAAACTGTTTGCGTTTTAAATAGATAAATGCCAAACAACCACTAATTAACGGAAATAAAAAAGTTTACACCAATCAAGGAATAAAAACTTTATCGATTCGGTTCGAGTCAAGAACAAACCCGCAACGTTTACCTGTACAGAAAGTTTAGGAAATACTTCACTTCCTTTAAAAAATTGAATATAGTAGTATACTAACTGTAAATATAACCAAATTCAGTTATGATGAAAGTGCATAGAACTTGGAAGATTCAATAATCAAGGGAATTTTACTAAACTAAGAGAAAGTTGGCTAAAAATAGTTATCTGAAGTCTTCAGAAGTAAAATTGATTAGAAAGC